AATGTTGTACTTCGGGTACATGCTCATTGCCTCATACGCATTCTTCGTGCTTACGGGAACTATTGGTTTCTACGCATGCTTCTGGTTTACCAGGCTTATCTACTCCTCTGTGAAGATCGACTAAGTACAATGATATACTCGCGTTAAATTGGTGAATGGTGAGCAAATTTTCCCACCCCCACAAAGAAAGAGATAGCCACATTCTTCTCAGAATTAGCGATTCTTGTGTACGTTATTAGATCGTAAATGTCGGAAGAGGACTGTGATCACAACTATAGTATTATTCAAAGGCCAACTCTGATATACTTCGTAGACTGTTAAGGATCTTGTATTTTTCTCATTCGTTTTTTGTAATGACATAAATCTTCAAATCTTTATTTTATTCACAACTGTTTTTTTTTTTTTTCCTCTTTGTTCATTGTTACTTGTTAAAAAGGCATTTGTTGTATCGCAAATTCGAACAAAGCAAGACAATTCAGGCCTCATCTTTTGACACAAAGAATTTTCAATTAAAGCATTGGTATCAAAATACAAATACCCAATACCCAACTATAGTTTTGATTTCATTGCCAAACATGTTAGCCTTGTATGTCTGAATAAATCTGTCAAATACAAGAGAAAATTATGCCTGATCATATACTTAGGGCCTGTTCTCTTACGTTGAAGTTCAATTCAACTTCTAATTTTCTTCTCTTATAAAATATTCAGCTTAGCTCAATTCAGTTCAGTTCAGTTGAGTTCAGTCAATGAAAACAGACCCTTAATAACTATTTCTTCTAACTATTCATTTATCTTATTTTTGCCTTTTGTCTTTTTAAAATTTGTCATACAATTTGAAGAGAAAATTGTAAGATTTGAAAATCCAGTGACCATCAAGCAAAGAAGGGAAACAACAAAACTTGATGCAAAGAAGATGAAACACAATATTGAAGCACCCTTTAGAGTGATTTCACAATCCCGAACGCAACAATTTAATGAAATAATCCAAGAAACCTCAATGGCAACTCGATGTAATATGGATTGACATTGACATGCCGTTTAGAGTAATCGACATCATGTTTTCGGAATACTTGACACTCTAACAACATTGCAACTAGATGATCTTGAATGTTTCATGGCATGCTCTAGATCATTAATATGGGTCAATAGTACCCAGTCTTTATATTCATCTTGATACCTTATTTTAAATGCCTACCTTGGAATTCGAGTATGATCTTGTTAGTTTCAACTCAATATATAATTTAAAATACTCTTTTTTTTCCCTTTTATGAGTGATAAATATTGCCAAAATTCATAACGTGTCCACAAAATAAAAACGGGAGATTTGCCATGACCAGCATTGTCATGTTGAATTTACCCTTTGGACTGTTCAATATTGACAAGCCCTGCTGTCAAGTTGTTGAGTTTCTCGACATGGGTCACGTTCGGTCTTTGGGTCAACTCGAATTGTGGGTTAACTTATATTAATGTTATTTTCTGGGCTAGTACTAAGTTTAAGTATACAAATATTTTTTCATGATTGCATTTCTGAGTTAGTATCCTGTGCTTTGGCGCCTTTAATATTTTATAAATCTATCCATTTAATTAAGCTTTATGCATTGTACAAGTATGATTTTGAATTTTCGATGATACGTAGCCTGCACGAATAACACGATTACACATAGCCTTTTCTTTAATTTTTAATGATGAGATTAATATGGTTGAGTAGTGACATCGCTTCCCTATATATATTAATTTAGGGATCAAGTTTTATAAGGCTCATTTTAGATTTTTTGATAACGGAAAGATTTAATATCACAGGTTAAATATATGACAAGTATAAAATGCCGATGGGAGTAAACTTTTTTTTTCTACAAAAGGAAAGGATTTGTTTGACAGTTGGTCAAGAATGTGAATGTATATGCTCTTAGAAATAATGTTACTTTTGTCTTTCGATAATATATATTAGTCATAATAAAAATTAAAGAGTTCCTTTTCTTAATATAATTTTGGAAAAATATCTAAAAGGATCATCTTTCAATTACTTTATTGTATAAAAATGGTAAGAGGAAAACATATCATCATGCAAAAGTATGGATACCTCAATTGTTTAATGATTTTATATTGCAATTTGCAGGTAAGAGATTGACAAAGTTCCTTTCGAGGACATAAATTAAATTGATAAAATAGAAGCACGAGGAAATTTTAATTTTCTTGTTTATTTTATTGCAAATTATAACGCGTAAATGTCAGCAACAAGCATATTTGATTTGTATATAAAAGACTTCACTTTGCTCATTTTATTTACATCAACTCACTCACTAAGCTAGTACTAGAGTACGCTTTTAAGTTGCTACACAACATAAAAATGAGTCCCAACCATCTAATTCTAGCTACACTCCTCGTTGCTTTGTTCTTAGATCTCTCTTACTCTCAGCCTATACCCGATCTTTGCCATCCCCACGACAAAAATGTCCTCCTCCGTATTAAGAAACTCTTAGGCAACCCTAAATCACTTTCGTCATGGGACCCTAACAGTGATTGCGCTGGTTGGAATGGAGTTCAATGCAACATTGAAGGCCACGTCACCATGGTCCGATTCGAGGAAGACCTAGATATCCACGGCCCAATACCACCGTATTTGGACCAACTTCCATCTCTCACTGTACTCTTCTTTGATAAACTTCCTAATCTTTCCGGCCCAATACCGTCGTACATTGGTAAGCTTACTAACCTCACTGAATTTTCTATCTCCGGGACCAAAGTAACCGGCCCAATTCCTGAATTTTTGGGCCAGCTAACGAGTTAACCCTACTCTATATCCCTGCCAATAAGTTTACTGGACCAATCCCTAATTTTCTAGGTCAACTCAAGAAAATGATTTTTCTTGACCTCTCTTCAAATCTACTCACCGGCCCAATTCCTATTTCTGTAGCCCAACTAACAAATCTTATAACCCTTGATTTTAGCTCAAATAAATTATCCGGCCCAATACCCGATTTTATAGCCCAAAAACTCAAGAAATTAGCAATACTAGATCTCAAATTCAACTCTTTATCAGGCCCAATTCCATCATCTTTGGGCTTTATGCCCGGACTCCATTCACTTGGGCTTGCTGGTAACCAATTAAGTGGGCCAATCCCAAAATCGTTGGGCCGTGGTAATTTACATTTTATTTACCTTAGTCAAAATAAGCTCACAGGGGATGCTGCTTTCTTGTTTGAAAAGACCAACACCAACATTCTTACTATAGAGGTTGCATACAACCTTTTGAGGTTTGACTTCACTAAAGTGGACTTGCCTCCAACCTTATCCGGCTTCAACATTAGCCACAATATGATATATGGATCTCTTCCTAAGCGATTCGGCCTATTACGGCCCGATTCTATTGATGTGAGTTACAATCAACTTTGTGGGCCAATTCCAAATGGACGACGTTACAAACGGGTCGACCCGATTATATTTGCCCATAATAAGTGCCTTTGTGGTGGCCCATTTCCTGGTTGCAAGTAATCATGCATCAATGCTTTGGAATGAAGTTGTCAAATGATTTATGGCTTTCTTTTTTAGTTGGTTTATTTAAAAGTTTGCAATTGTGTATGATAATTATCTAGTGTTGTATACTTATATTAGAAAGTTTAGTTCATGTTGATTGCAGACCTGCAATAACCATCAATGAGACAATTAAAATGAGTTTGTGTGATTCTATATTAACTTGCAATATTGTAGCTTGAAATGTTACGAGTTTTTGATTAAAAGACGATGAGGGAGTTGGTGGACAAGCGTTCTATTATACACTTGTGTGTATAGTACACTTAAAAGTGTTAAAACTATTTATTTGTCACATTGCTAGCTAAACTAAACAACTCCGACTTTAATTAGTCCTTAGTATGATCTACTATTTATTTGTCACATTGCTAGCTAAACTAAACTGCTCCGACTTTAATTAGTCCTTAGTATGATCTTTTCTTATTATTGAGTAGATATTGTAGCATGTTAGTTAACTTTGAAATATCTGTCATTTTGGATAACCTCTACTGATGCTCAACTTCCTTATGCGTACTAATGTACTATGCTACGTATGACTCTACTGGACATTTTGTACGTGTACAAATCTTGACTTACTTCGACTATGATCATATTAGATACACATCAATATATAATTACATATATATACTCCTTTATCATTTTAGTAAATATTGTCAAAATTCATTCGTGTCTATGAAATAAAAACGGGAGATTTGCCCTGACAAGCTCTGTCATGTTGGATTTAGAGTTTAGTCAAGTTGTCATTTAATTTAGAGTATTGTCAAGTTGGATTTACAACCCTCCCTCACTCCCTGGGAGTCTGGGACCAGTATTGTCAAGTTGTTGACTGCATTTCATTTTCTGGGCTATTAATAATATCATCTACTTTGCTGCCTTGTATGGACACATGCAATTAATTAAACTTCATGCATTTTATTCGATCATACGTTACCTACACGTAGCTTTTTCCTTAGTTTCTAACTTTGTACAATACTTTCTTATTCTTTTAGTTGCATTGTTTTTTTTATTTTATTTTTTTAAATTAGATACATCACCTTCATTTTTAGTTAATAAACTCTCTCCTATTACATGGTTTTTTTTTTTTTTTTTTTAAAAGATTAAAATGGGGTCAGTTATAAACGCATTTGTTATTGCCTAAAAGTCCACAATTTGCAGAATGATGCAACTAAAAAACAACGAAAAAAGCAATAATTATGATTAGAGTGAGGTAATTGAGTAGTAATATTGCATTCCATTAAATATCAATTTAGGAATCAAATTACTCGTTTGAGATTTTTCATTATTTAAAATAACGAAAGATTTAAATATCACAAATGAAATATTTCGTATGTAACAAATAAAAAAGTCGATGTGAGTAAAATTGTCTTAAAAAAGGAAGGATTTTTAACTCTTTGACTGTCTTAAACTATACTATGTATTAGCTTAGTCAAAAAGAATTTAGAGAGGCTCTCTTATTTAAACAGGTTGTTAGGATGCATTGTAACCCCCAGTTGCTAGTGGCACGTGTTTTGGAGCCTTCACATAAGTGTTCGATATGCACTGGGCGGCCAAAGGATGGTACAGCGGGAAATATTTCTTGGGGAAAAAGGGGTTTTCGAGATGTGGGAAACAAGATGATTAGTGGGTATGCTTGGAAGATCGGGAATGGAAAAAAGGTAAGGATTGCGAACATGAGGTGGGTGCAGGGCTGTGTTCCTGAAATGAGATCAGACTTGTTACTTCGGGATGTTGGTTCTGGAATGGTGAAGGACCTCATTTTATCTGACCCAAGACAATGGAATGCTGCTATGGTACGGGAGAGATTTGTTTGGGAGACGACCAAAAAAATCCTGGAAATGGAATTACCGAATGTTGATGAAGATGATTTCCTATTCTGGAATTCACACTCATCGGGCAACTACACCGTAAAGTCTGGGTATGCCTTTTTAATGCACTCCTTTTTTATGAAACAGGACCATGGTCAGGACGATGTGTTCTTCAAACTAATTTGGGGGTTAAATATTCCGCCAAAATGGAGCTTATTCTTATGGAAACTAGTCATGAATGGCCTGGCTTTCAAGTCAAACTTAAGGTATCGAGGGGTGGATATCGATGGAGATTGTGACTCTTGTGGTATGGAGGAGGAGGATTTACAACATCTTTTCCGATTGTGTTCTTTTGCGAGGTATGCTTGGCAGAACTATGACTTGCATATTATCTCTGAAATTGATGAATCTACTCCTTTGCGACACTGGATTCAGCAACATATTCTGCTCTATCATAGCGAGGATGGGAGACAAAGCGTCAGGCTCCATGTTTTCATAGGAGTTTTGTGGAGTCTCTGGTTAACTAGGAATGGGAGAGTTTTTAGAAATGAAAGGGGCTATTTAGCGGATTACTATAGGCATTATGGTCAAACGATGAGTAGCTTGGAGATTTTCCTTAAACCAAGAGAAAGGTATAGGGATTCCACTCGTATAACCGGAAGAACGGAGGATCTCCCACCCGTGTTCAACAGATTCAACATTGGCAGCCGAAGGGAACTACCACATCATCCTCTACAGGGGAATACAGAGGTTATAATTATGGTGGATGGGTCTTGGAAGAAGAGTACAGGGGCTGCGGGTTTTGGATGGGCTTACTCTTCGGATGGGGTAAACTTTTTGGAGGGAGGAGGTGATTATGGTACAGCTATCTCAGCTTTACATACTGAGCTCTTGGCTTGCATAGGGGTTGTCAAGTGGGCAAGCCGAAAGGGCTACCAATACATTACGATTTTCACTGATTCTATGGCAATCATTCAGCTTCTGCGTAATCCTACCAGCCGGGAGGTGAGACTACTATGGACTATTGAAGATTTATTGAAGGAAGGAGGATCCTTGGACATGTGCACTATTTGGAAAGTTAGTAGAGATCAACTAACACAGGCACATGATATTGCGGTTGGGTGTAGATGTAATTTAGTGAAATTTCGTTGTAATTTGTTTCGTTTAGTTGCTGTTGTCAAAAAAAAAAAAAAAAAAAAAAAATTTAGAGCTTCTTAAAGTAAAATTTTTGAAAAATGTGTAAAGCGATGATTATCATGTAAATTCCAATATTTTATAAAAATGGTCAGAGGAAAACATATCATCATGTAAATTAGAGGTGTCAATCTCATGATCAGATCGAGTATGATGAGGACGGGTCGGGTCGGGTAGGGTTTTAAAATCGATTTAAACTAAATTATTATGTCTACACAAGTCCAAATCTGAATCGGATATTTTTCAAGTCGATTTCGGATTGGGTCGAGTATGCTTTTAACAAGTCAACAGCTTTATGATTTTTATTGCAACTTGCTGGTAAGATATTGATGAAGTTTGTTTCATAGACAAAAATTTTATTGTAAAATAGACACACGTAGGAATTGCAAATTATAAGGCAGAAATGTCAGCAACAAGCATATTTGAAATGTATATAAAGACCTCATTTTGCACATCTTATTTGCATCAACTCACTAAGCTTGTACAAGTTTATGTTTTTAAGTTCCTACACGATAAAAATGAGTCCCAACCATCTAGTTCTAGCTACACTCCTCCTCTCTTTGTTCATAGATCTCTCTTACTCTCAACCTGTACCCGATTCTTTCCTTCCCCACGACATAAATGTCCTCCTCCGTATTAAGAAACACTTAGGCAACCCTAAATCACTTTCGTCATGGGATCCCAAGATTTATTGTGTAGGTTGGGCTGGAATTTATTGTAACGAACAATGTCATATAACCTCTATCGGATTCGATGAAGTTAATCATATTGATATTCATGGTCAAATACCACCATATTTGGACCAACTTCCTTTTCTCACCCGCCTCTCGTTTAATGATGCTCCCAATCTTTCTGGCCCTATACCGCCGTACATTGGTAAGCTTACTAATCTCACTTACCTTACTATTTCCGGTACCAAAGTGGCTGGCCCAATCCCTGAATTTTTGGGCCAGCTCACTAAGTTGAAAGCACTTTACCTCTCTTCCAACAAGTTTACTGGACCGGTCCCTAATTTTCTAGGCCGGTTTAAAAGAATGATTGCTCTCGACCTCTCTTCTAATCTACTAACCGGCCCAATTCCTATGGCTTTGGCCCAACTAAAAAATCTCATTTCCCTTGATTTAAGCTCAAATAAGTTTTCCGGCCCAATACCCGATTTTATAGACAAAAAATTTAAACAATTAGACGTACTAGCTCTAATTCTTGGCTGCATTCTAGTGCAGCCAAGCTAGGTGCAACACCATTAAATGTGAACATATAGTACGTTCAAATGAACATATGCTTTTTTTTTCTTTCTTATATCTTAGTTCTCTTTCTTCTTCTTCCTTAGCTCTATTATTTCTCTCTCTCTTCAGTTTTCTTCTCAATCTAACATTTTCTCGTTCCTCTTTACCTCATTTCCCTTCAATCTTTAAAGTTTTCTTCTTCTTTATATAAATTTTTGAGTTACTATTTCGTGTTTTGATGGGTATACTTCTTTCTTTCTAAATCTATGAGTTTCAGATTCAATTATTTGGCTTTATCAAAGAGGAAAGAAAAAAAAAATGGAGGAGAGAGAAAGTTGAAGGTCAAAGAAAACAATGGAGGTTTGATTTTATCAATTTGTAATTGTATTTTGTATGATTTCGTTGATCATGCATGATGATTTATTGTTTGATTGTTTGAAATTATTATGAGTTTGTGATGAATATCAATTAAATTGCTTAATTGTTAATGAATATCAATTGTATTGCTTAATTTGTAGTTATTTTCTCTCTCCCCCCCTCTCTCTCTCTCTCTCTCTCTCTTTTAATTTTTTTTCTTTTGATTTCTAATCATGTTACAAATCAATAATTAATTTCTCTATGATGAATCAAGATTAGATTTAAGGTAGATATTCAATTTTTTAGAGTTTCAATAATTACAATCGATCTTGAATATAATTTCTGTAAAAAAAATGAACACGTAGAAATTTAAAAATGAACATCTCTTATAAAATGAGCATTTAGTACACCGAAAATTAATATTAAATACATAAAAAATGAACATATTTCAACAATTTATTTTATCTTTATTTTTCATTAATAATTATATACAATGAATTTGAACCTTTATGAAAATCAAGTTCATTTTTATATCCTAAATGTTCATAACCTTTTGTTACATGTTCATTTTATAAGTGTTTATTTTTTAATACTAAATGTTCATTTTTATTAGGTTGAAAGTAAAATATAATACGTTGAAAGTTCAATTATCTGAACATTTAGTGTTGAAAATCTGAAAAATTTATTATGAATATATATGTTTCGTTATTCATTACGAACATATCTGTTATTGATTATGAACACATATGACATATAGCGTGATAATTATTTATATTTTTAACTACTGTATTGATGATTATATATGATGAACATTCTAAATAATCATTATGAACATATGTTGTGATGATTATGAATTTTGATTATTTGTTATATTTCAGTGAGTACAGATTAATTGTATTTGTAGAAGACAAAGACTCTGAATTAGTGAAGAAACAAGTAAGAAGTGATGAAGAAGTATATGATATTACAACGAATTTGCCTTTAAGTTGGAGAATTTCCGATGTATATGATCCCAATTTTATGGTTGTATGATAAAGGTTCATTTGTAATATACTAAATGTTCATTTTTTTTTGACATGTTCACTTTTTATTACTAAATGTTCATTTTTTTACGTGTTCTTTTTTATTACTGAATATTTTTTTTTTTATGTGTTCATTTTTCTAACTAAATATTCATTTTTAAGGTCGTGGTTTAGCAAATTTATGATTATATGATAATCAGATTCATTTTTAATAAATGATCATTTCCTTATAACATGTAAACTTTTTAGTATTAAATGTTCATTTTTTTTACGTGTTCATTTTTTGTTATTAAATGTTCATTTCTTTTTTCATGTTCATATTTTTTAACTAAATGTTCATTTTTTATTTAGGCCGCGCGTTTTGGGCCTCACTTGTTGTAGCTATCTTCTAGTGCAGCCAAGACCAATTGCTCCAATTCAACTCTTTATCGGGCCCAATTCCATCTTCTTTGGGCTTCATGCCCAGACTCGGAACACTCATGCTTACGGGTAACCAATTAAGTGGTCCAATCCCAGTCATTGGGCCATGGTAATTTAGTTTTTATTGAACTCAGTGAAAATAAGCTAACAGGGGATGCTGCTTTCTTATTTGAAAAGAACAACACCAACATTGTTGATGTAAAGATTGCCTACAACCTTTTGAGGTTTGACTTCACTAAAGTTGACTTGGCTCCAACCTTTTCGGGCTTCAACATTAGCCATAATATGATATATGGATCTCTTCCTAAGCGATTCAGCCTATTGAATCCCGTTTATATCGATGTGAGTTATAATCAACTTTGTGGCCCAATACCAAATGGTCGACGTTACAAACGGGTTGACCCGATCATATTTTCCCATAATAAGTGCCTTTGTGGTGGCCCATTTCCTGGTTGCAAGTAACCAATGTATCACTGTGTTGGAAAGTTGAAGTGATTTAAGGCTTTCTTCTTTAGTTGGTTATTTTTATTAAAGTTTGCAATTGTGTATGAATGTATGATTATCTAGTGTTGTAACAGAAAGTATAGTTTATGTTAATTGTAGACCTGCAATAATCATCAATGACAATCAAATTTAGTTTGTTCATTTTATTTAATCGTTGGTGGAATGACTAATTAAATGATGTTTGTTTTTCAATGTACTTTTTAATACGTTTTAAAACGCTGATAACATTTTTATTAGTCATTTTTCAACCAATCTTGTAATGTGTAAACTTTTATACCTTTATTTATGTACAACTACATGCTAAATCACTAACATGATCACCATATGCTGCAGAGTGGAGATAATTTCAATCCAAATTCGATAAAAACGGCACATGTATTGTGATTTTTTGGAATAGATGTTTCTCATGATGCATAGCAAATTTGTATACATCTTGACTCAGGACACAAAGCATGATAAATTTATAGAGAGTACTCGTAATAGAGTAAGGTCATGTTTTATTCATCTTATTTTTGCTGAATTGAAATTATTTTTATTCAATTGAAATTATTTTTTTGTTTTTTATTTTTTTCTTTTAAATTGTTGATTTTTATTAATTTAAAATTATTTTTTAATTAATTGTAATTAAACAAATGAGTAGAACTACTCAAATTGTTAATGATTCAAAAATAGTTGTCAATTGTCAAAGTCAATGGGCTCAATTAGTTGATTCATTTATCAGTTTAACGTGTACTAAATCAAATCAAATCAAATCTTTATTTTTCAAAATTATAGTTGACTTAGATTCAAAGTACAATCACTCACTCTTCTTTTCTCACATTCAAAAACTCCATGAATGGCTGTGTAAGTGTAACCTCAATGAAATCAACCATGACATTATTTTTGTTTGTGTTGTTTATAATCTATTTCGATTTCGGATGCTGCTTCTCATTCTTGAGATTCAATGATTCTCCTCAGCTATATAAACAGGTCCGATTTTATTTTTATTTTTTTTAGCATTAAACTGACCTGTTAAGTTTATTAATATTCACTTAAATTTGTTTGTTTGTATATGATATGATACTTAAAATGAGCTGATTTGCAATATGATATTAAAACAGGTTAAATCTTATTTTTATTTTTTTGTTGCATTTTTTCATTTGAGAGAATTCTAGTAACCAAAGTAAAACAAACTAAACTACTCCGGATTTAGTACATCATTAGCATGCTATGTTAATGGACATTGAAATATCTGTAATTAATTGGCGGTATATTTTTTTCTGGGTTCAGGGAGATCTGTTAGGGCCTATATTTAGTGTACATATCATATAGCTAACGGGCCTATTTCATGCGCCCTAATTACTTGTATAAATATTCTTCTCTACACTCTAATGAAAACTACGGAAAATTATTTCGTGACATGATATCGGAGCCAATTCACTCTAACCACTAAAATCCCTAACCTTCTACTCTAAATTTCTGAAATTTTTACTCTGAATTTCTATTCTCAATTGGTACTCTACATTGCCGGATTGCCGAATTGCTATACTAAATTGCTGA